ATAAAATTATAAATATGATAACATATTAAAAAAATAATAATTTATATTAAATTTAAAATTATTGAGAAGATTTTATTTTTAAGAAAGAACATAAAAATTCAAAATTTATTGAAAAGATCATGATTTTATCAGTTCTCAAATTCAAAGACATTATTGTTTTTATATTAGATTTAAAATTATGATTTATTTTAAAAAGATCATGATTCGGAAGCATACAATATAAAATATTATTATTTTTAGTGTTACTGTATTAAATATTGTTTTTTAAATCAACATGTTTTTTCATTATGTTTTTTTAGGATAGCAAAGTGGGCCGTCTACCTCATTTAGGTCCGTCCGGTTTAAGTCCGTTTAAAAATGGAATAGAGTAAACTGTATTGACGTAGGGGTTCGAATTCAAAAGTCAAGTCTGTTCCATTTATTAACGAATTGGTGGGTTGACGGACCGATCCGTCAAGTTTTGATTTTTTTAATTTTACAATTTGATTTAATATATAATTTAAAATTTTTTTAATTATTATTAAAGAGATCGATAAAGAAATGTTTTTAATAACGCATAGAACTTCAAGATGTCTTAAGTCCAAACAATTCAAAAAATTTAATAAATAAAGACCAATTACAAAAAAAAAAAAACTCAAACACAATAAAAAATATCAAAATAAATAAACAATACATATTTTCCTAATCCTATTTAAAAATTAACTATTAATAGAACTCAATTTAGAATTTACACAAAACCAACAATGATAACAATAACATTGCATAAAACATCACAATGAATAAAATAATAATGCGTAAAATCTCAACACCAAACTTTTTCATTATTTACATTATATAGACTCTTATATTAACCGATTCTTTAATAATTAAATCTTAAATTTATCACACATATACGCTAATCAAATCATTTTATTTCATAAGATTAACATCTATTTCTAAAAAAAAAAACTAAACTAATATATTGAAAATTTAATAATTATGCATGTCATACATTTGTTCTTTTATTTCAATCATTTTCAATCAACACATGTATTAAAAAGTTATAGAAAAAACGTTACAATTATAATTCAATTTGTCTGTATAATAATTTATAATACGATTCTAAGAGATAAGTGTTGTTTTTATAATTAAAGTTGTTTTAATTTTTAATAAATAAATAAAAGTTTTAACAAAATATCCGCGGGTAAAACCCGTTCCGCCCCGCCTCGATCTGCTTTTTTAAGCGGATTAGACGGGACGGGCCAACTTAAAGTGTCAAGCCGAAAACCTTAATTCAGCCCGCCAAAAATAACAGATCTAACAGACCAACCCGACACGTCCAACCCATTTTACCACCTCTATGTTTTTTTTAATTAGTTTTCACTTTTGCACTATTTGATTTTTCTCAACTTTTCCTTTTTATATTTATAGTAAGATTTTCGTTTTAATTTTTATAATTTATACATAATGTCATAATTACAATACTAATTATAATTTATATGAGATTATAAATTTAAATAATATTATATATATGGAAAAAAATATATATTATTGATCTAAATATTTTTTAATACGAAAAATGTTATTTGTAATTCAATTTTTTTTATCATTGATCTAAATATTTTTATATACGAAAAATTGTATTTATGATCCAAATATTTATGATTTAATAATGGTATACAAAAAATATTTTTATATACGAAAAAATTTATTATTGATATAAATATTTTTTCTTTTTTAATTTTTTATTTAAAATAAATATATTAGGTAACAAATGCGCATAACACCCGTTCGTATACACGTGTTTATTATTAATTTTCAAAAAAAAAACTCTTAACTAATGCCCCGAAACATTCTATAGCATCTCCCATTAATTAAATAAATGAATGGATAATTAACATTAAAAATCTACCAGGAATTGCATTGCGGTGTCCCATTTCAGTCCCTCCAAACTAATAACATACCCGTGCGGCCACAAAACTTTATCATTTGATAAAATGAAATAAAGATTTGGTATAATAAAACGTAATAAAAGTGACATTCAAGGAAATGTAGGTTTCCAAATTTTAGTGATTACACATCAAAGTTTTACAGGCAATTAGCGATAGATTAACAAAAAAATTGTTACATATGAATCATCAAAGTAAATACAAAATATTGATTTAAGCCGAATGAAGAAAGACAAAGCCACTGTTCAAAGATATGTACCATGTGGAAGAATTAAATTGTTGAGAAGGAAATCAATAATCACCTAGAGAAACATATGAACCTACTTTTTTTTCTTTTAATATATGAGGTTTCAATTAAACTATTTATGATTGAAATAAGAAAATAATAATATTTGGTATTATCACTACTAAACACTTTTTAAATCAATAATCACCTAAAGGACATTTCTGATTTATCCAGATTTTAAACTGACAAAAAACTTTACATAATTCTCGAAAGTTCATTTGTTTCATCTTCTAATGTCTTGCAAGAAATGATATTGTCATTCATGGAAATAGATGAGAAATAGGAGGGTGCCTGTTCCTTGCTAACAGCTCCGACCTACCGACGGAGAAGTAGAAGCAGTGGTAACTTCACCTGTCAAGATCAAAACAAAAGCATACAACTTTCCTACTATAACCTAAGGTATATTCTGTGAGCTTCATCATAATGGGCGCATTGTGACAATTCTGACTTCAACTCAATTCCATAGAAAATTTTGCCTAAAATAGGAACCACAAAAATCTTTTTGAAATTATTTAGCATGTATCATCTTAAATGACAAGTCACAAAATTTGAAATTCACATAAGGTTACCATGGGTATTTAGCCGAATCAAATCTCGGACATTCTTAATGCAATGACTATGTAAAGTGAGTATGTAAAAGCAAACCTCATCAGCTATTACATATGGTTACCGCATATCATTAACGCAAATATATTTTTCTAAACTATGTTTGACCATATTCAAGATCGACAATGTAATAAAACGCTATTTATTTTTCTCTACTGTCATCAATCGAAATTCAAGCAGTGATATGTGCAACCTAAACTAAAGTTACAGATAATTCTCTGCCATCTAAAAAGATCTTATAAATGTGGTTCAACTAAGTCTAGCCTAGATAATCTATCATATCAGCGTATAAACAATCTCCTGAGCACTTCACTTAATCGAACAACAATTGATTGTAATCAGATAGTAAATGATTAAGATCTACTTATCTCTTAGATATGCAGACATCGCTTCTAAACAATGACGATGTTGGTAATGCGTCACAAATTGGTTTCCATTTGCATTACATTGAACATGATAACTTTGCCTCGATACCATGTCGGTGTTTTGGCTCCGCAAGCCGGTCTCTCAACTCTAGATTCCTTCTAGAAACGACTGACATAGATGTTGTTTGATAACTTCCGCTAAAACAAACATTATACCTTATGAATAAAACAAAAAATATTTTAAGATGCAATGAATGACTTCAAACATAGAAAAGTTGGCTTTTTTGCAAACAAAATGACTTCAAACAACATATGCAAACAAAATGACTTCAAACATAGAAAAGTTAGCTTCTTTTTTTTTTGCAAACAAAATGACTTCAAACAACATCTGCAAACAAAATAACTTCAAACATAGAGAAAACCAGTTATACATCTACGTATTATGTGTAAAAGTAAATACAAAGGAACTTGTTTGCAACAGAACACGTTTGTAACATGTTTGTAACATGTTTGTAACATTGAAAACATGTTGCTGAAGCTCAGAACAAATGTATACGATGACTGATGAACTGGAAGCTACCTACGAATGTAACCAAATATAACGGTAGAACTCCGACGGTAAACAGAAAGTATAGGGCTTTCATCATGTTTTTGACAACCAGCTGTCTGATTGTCGCCTATTATTAAAAAATAGAAGTGTTATGAGTTCACAAAATATCCAGGAAGAAGTAATTTGAGATTGCAGCATACCTGTATCTCAGGAAGCATTCCTGTGTTATATGCGAACGCAAGATTCGCAGACGCTCCAATTGTTGTAAATATTTTACTTGTTGATGTCCCCGGAGTACTATAAACGTGAGCTGGAGATTTTATTCCTAATAATAAACTGTTGGTTAATACGCAAACTCTCATTGAACTTACCAATCATACTGAAAAGCAATTGTTGTCAATGATTAAGTAAACATGAACATGAATAATAGAAAGAGCAATAGGACATTACCATCTTTTAGTGACAATACAAGCGATATGACAATGTATGTGAGGCTTAAGACTGTTGAAAATCCGAGCCAAATTCCAAGAGCAGAAATATAAGGAATACAAATGGCAAACATTCCACACACAAGTCCAGGTATGGCAATAAAATATGGAAGCTTCATCTGATCATCATCCCTAAATAGCACATCAACAGCCTGCACGGGAAATAATAACACAATTCAGAAAAACTCAGAAGAAGATTTGTTGGACTGTTTCTATCTGATATACAACCATTCATTCTATAATATAATTACTTGTGATTGCAGTTCTAGAAAACAAAAGATATATAATTGTTTGATTATGTTATGTTACCTTCAAAGCCGAACCCGCCAAAATGATGTAGCCAATATTTATCATGAAAAGATTGACATACTACTTACAATGAAAATGGAATGAACATAAGCATTAGAGTAAAAGTGGGGGCGGAGGCAGAACTGTTAAGATTTGGAGAAAAGTGAGGGAAGAAGAGTAAACAGAGAGAGAAAGATAAGAGTAAAAGTGGAAAGAGGAACCAATTGAAAAGGTGGTGAGACACGGCATTAGAGGGAAATGTGAAGAAGTGTATAAAATTGATTAAGTTTATGAAGAGATAGATATAACCTTTTTGTTTTGAAATATTTTACAAAGAGAAGGACAATTTTGATAGTGCGCTGGCTTTTAATGACTTGATAGTAGACTTCCGATAATACTGTAATAACAGAATAAAAAGTACGAAAATAACTTAAAAGCTGGATCTACACAACCCTACTGGTTGCCACCATTTTCCAACTGATTTGAATCATGTGGAGCACCATTGCAAATTTGAAAGAGAATTTGAACAAGATCGCACTCGTTCTTCACGACGACGAAGAAGACGAAATGCTCCGCATGTACGGCGGTAAAAGCACTACCAACGGCGTGGAATCTCGCGTCTCAGATCGCCGGAATTCCAACAGATTTCTCCGTTCCAAATCGGGGATTAGGTCGCCACTCACAAATGGCATCGATCATGTATCTATTTCTGAGGTAACTCTCACTTTCTCGAACTTGTATTGGCTCGTGCTTATATCTTGTCGTTGTTTGTTTATCACACATAAATGCCTCTGCTACGCTCTAGCGTTTGTACACTTATCTGCGAATATGATTCATATTCAATAGCTAGTAATGCTAATGATTGTTGTTCAGCTTAGAGTTCGAAACCTAATGAGAGTGTAAATGCTTCTTTAATGAACTAGGTCTTGGGTTTTACTTCTATAAGATTAAATCATCTTAGTTATTTATGTAATTCTCCAATAGTGGCTGGTTGGTGGTAGTGGATTGTGAGTGAACTTTACCTGCTTTGTTAGGAGTTTGAATCTTAGAGTTTCCTTTTTGTTGAGTGCTTTGTTTAATCACCATTATTCATGATAGAGGATTATCCCATAAGTCTAACTATGCTTGTGGTATTCCCATTTTCTGTTCAAGTGTTGGAAACATGAGATACTAAGAAACTGAAAAACTTAATTTCCAAGTTACTATGAAACTGACTGGCCATCAAAGACAAGTGCTCACTCGTTTTACTTAAATTTCTATTCACTTAAATAAATATCATACCTTTCCAACGTTATGGATGCAGTAGTATAAAATATGATTGAAATTCTCTTTACAACATTGCCAACTTTACAATCTTCCACTTGAAATTCAGTAGAATATTCAATGGTGAAAATTTGTTATCATATGTCATGTGTGGAGTCGCACTGGTGGCAACATTCCCTATCATAAACTTTCTGATACCCTCCTTTTTATTAATTGAAATTCTAATAGGTCCCATTAAAATACGTGGGGCTCAGATAAATTTGGTGAAACTCCTGAATTTCAACTTATAAGAGTTTCATTTCATCCCAACATTTCTTGTGCTTCATATAGATAGAACAATACAAAGCAGAAATCAAAAGACTTCAAGCCTCTGAGGCAGAAATTAAAGCGTTGTCAGTTAATTATGCAGCTCTATTAAAAGACAAAGAGGTATAGCTATTATATTCCAACATATATGTATTATAACGTTAAGCTTCACTTTTTTGTTTTTTCTTGTTTTTTCATATGTTGGAACTATCTAGAATTTATACTTCTAGCACAGAATAAGACGGGCCTGTGCATTTCCGACATTTAAGTCCATAGGGCTCTTGTGTGAGGGGGTGTATTGCTTTCACCCTACAATTTTAAGTTTTGTGGATAGTTTGTTTATGATAGCAGTCAGCAGTTCTTATGGATTGCGTGTTTTCTAAAGTAAAGCTCTAATCATTTTTCCCTGTCCTTCAAAACTGGAGGGCTTTTAATTTTTTTGAGTACATAGTAGGTATTTATTCATTATGTGGTCTTAATGCTTGGCCAGCGGCAGCAAAGCACCACAACAATGATTAGTTGAAAGCTTTGTGATATATTGGACATTGGATAAAAAAAGAGAAGTTTCATTTATAGTTATTACATAACAATTTAACCTATTAATTGCAGTTTTTCATTGATGTTGCAGGGTCAGAATGTTAGATTAAATAAAGAAAATGGTTCACTAAAGCAGGATTTGGAGGCTGCGAATGCTGCTCTTAGTGCTTCCAGAAATGAAGGTTCTAGAGCATCTACAAGTGGCACTTCTTCAGTCAAGGTAGTCCTGCATTATAATTCTCGGGTCTTTGACTGGCTATCGTCACATGCATAGCTGTGTCTCTTACACTCATGCTGGGGAAGGGGGACATTATTATACTTCCACCATCTTTGTTTGGTATTCTTGATGAAAGTTTATGAGTTTTATGCATGTTAAGATTCTGTTTAAACCGGTGTTATGCCCTCCATTATATTTGGTATTTGTAGATTTTATATGAAATTTAATAAGTAACAAGGATTCTTGAATGCCATGCTCTGTAATGTCTTTGTTTTGATACAAGCTAGGTTTATGGGCCTTAAGTCTACAATGTTTTTTTAATATTATATATCCTTTGTCTACATTGTTTATTGATAAATTAATATCTTATAAATGTTGTATGTCTGATATATTTCCATTGCGTTCTCAGCTTCAAGTGCAAATTTTGTTCCTTTTTTTAAACGGGCATAGCCTTGAGTTTGATTTTTCAGTTTTTTAATGCAAAAACTTCTTTTATTTGCAAGCCATTTTGATTTTGATATCTAACATTTTGATGGGTTCCTTTATAACTCTTTTTTACTTATTGATGGAAAAATTAAGCTGTCAAAAGCTGTGCAATATTCCTCAGAGATAAGAAAGCTAAAGTTAGAACTAAAGCAAGAACGTGATCAGTTGGCCAATATTCAACTAAATTTTCGTGGTATTTTTATTCTGCATATGAATGCCTAAATGATAATATTGTGTAAATAGAAGTTGACGGAACTCTGCCTTTTTCAATGTCAGAGGAACAGGAATCAAACAACTCTTTTCGGGAGGAGCTTAAAATGTTAAAGTTGGAAAGAGAAAAAGTGAGTTCATATTTTTGTAGATATGTTAATTTATATGTCATAGCTGCAACATTACATGATTCCAAACGTAAAAGAGCTAATTGGGATAAAGCAATAGGTGCACATATGAAATGAATGCTACAATTCTCTGTTGTTGATTCTGGGATGTCTTTTGCATTTGATAGTTTAATCATTTTGTTGTTACTATTTCAGTGACATTACATGTTACGACGTAGTAAAACATTTGACGTAAAGCACCTGAGTAAATTGGTCTGGCTTTTAGAAACACCTTTCAAATAATGGTTTTTATTCATTTTACTGTTAAAAGAGTCGTTAGAAACTTTATCAATACTAGACCATACTGTTTCAATAGAATTCTCTCATATATAAATAGCATTTGATGGACACAATATAATGAGATTTGGTATCAAGCTATAAACAGATGGATCAAAGGCTATACAAATTCATAGATGGACGCAATATAAATCTCAATTTATATTGTTCTCTTCTAGTGCTTGCTTTCTGAATTCATAGCATTTCTACTTTTCTATATAAAATATAAAATAATTTGCCTTGCTGTTATGAATTCAGAAAGCTATCCAAATTGATTCTTCTATTTTGCCTTTATCAAATAGAATGATTGGTTTATTCTGGGAGCAGACTCTAGAAGACCTTTGTCAGTGCTTGAACATATAATTTTTCTTTCAGATGATATTTTTCTGAAACTGAGAAGGAACTTGACCCTTTTCTGTTACATTCTAAACCCTTTTATTGCATCATTGAGAAATTGGAATCTTTGCAAGGGATTGTACACTTTTGCAATGTCATGTTCTGGATTACATAGTCTTGGTTATCTAACCATGTTTGATATTATTGCTTGGAAGACATCAAAGGAGCTGAGAAAAGTACAATATGAATTGAATGTGAAAGCATCCGAAATAAAGCATCTGCGATTTGAGTTGACTAGAAGAAAAAACGAGGAAGCAGAGGAGGATTTCGATAGCTTGAAAAGACTAATCAAAACCTTGGAGAAGGAAAACAACACTCTCAAGGTTGGTAGATTTATGCTTTATTTAATTGCAATTTAAAGAGTTTCGATTATATTATCACAAAAATCGATAATGTTGCTTTTCTATTATTATTGCTCGAGAAGCACTCTGATAAGATATTTTCTACTTGTCAGATCGAGAGGAATGAAATTGAGGCTGCTTTCCAAAAAAGCAGGAAGTCTTTCACTGGAAAAATGTTGTCTGATGCTTTGCATATTCAGAAAACGGATTCAAGCAGCACCAGTGATGTGAGCCAAAATTTTACAGAAATATGTGCTTTACAGGTTATGCAATCTGAATCATGTTAATATTTTTTCTACTTTCCTTTTTGGGGCTGGTCCATTGGCTTTTGGTAACAGATACCAGATCATTCTGAAAGTTTTCCAGGAAAGGAAGAAATGGAAAGAGACAAAGCATTACAAGAATTGAGCCGCCTTAAGCAGCATTTGCTGCAAAAGGTCTGATTCTCTTGCTTTATGCCTTTATTTTCTACAGCAGAATCAATGATAAGAGGCTCGATATTCCGATCACCTTAATGTTATATTATATGTATATCTCAATAATATAACTTAGATAAGATGTCTTTGTGACAAAATACAGTTTGATACTATTTACTACTCCCTCCGTTACAAAATGAATGTTGCTGCTGTTCTGTGATTTTGACAGGTTTCTCGACCTATTAATTGTGATGATTTTGGCTGACATTTAGCGTTTTCATTTATTTGATAATACTCTATCAGCTGAGAAATATTATTGTTTACATTATCATCTGGAGTGTAGACGAGTTCCATTTGCATTGTCCTGGACTGGTTTAGTATATGAATATCAACTTGTCTGCAGCGTCAAAGATTTACTCACTGCTTTTTATCTAGGCCTCTGAAGAAGCTGAGAAAATGGATGAGGATAGTAAAATCATTGAAGAGCTTTGTGATAGTAATAATTATTTAAGGGCTCAGATATCACATCTTGAGAGAACTCGGAAGCAAGCAATTGCAAGTCCGGAGGAACTGAAGATGGCAAACAATAATGAAATTCTTAAGTCTAGGGAAGTCATTGATGACCTCAACAAAAAGCTTACAAACTGTTTGAGCACAATAGATTCTAAAAATATTGAACTTTCAAATTTACAGACAGCTCTTGGACAGTACTATGCTGAGATTAAAGCCAAGATATATAAACATGCTGCATTTTCCTTTTTTGATCATAAATTTAGAGTTTTTGGGATGTTAATATTACTTTTGTAAGCCCGTGTGCTTGTGTCAATAAATTTGAGTAATTTACGTGCGATGTCTTTTTATTCCTTAGGAATATTTAGTGTTGGAATAAAGAGTTTTCAAAAAAGATGATTTATGAAAGAGAAAAAGAAAAAGAAGAAGAAGAAGGAGGAGGAGGAGAAGAGAGAGAGAGAGATAGAAAGTTTGTTATGATTCTAACTGAATTGTAACTGTATTGAATGTGAATGTTGAATGTTAAAAATATGTAAAATTACAAACTAACAATTCCTTTATATAGGCATACAATGCCCAGGCCCAATTTGACTCACTATGCTATAGCCCATAATTTCGACTAACTACATAACTGTTGTATTCGACTCTGTCGAATATAACTTACAACCCATTCAACTAGCTATCCAACATACACCATCACATATATTTCGACAGAACAAGAATTACACTTCTAACACACCCCCTAATTCATGTTCTCGAGACTTCTCATTCCAATGCTTCTCTTTAACTCGTCGAATCTGACTTTCTTTAGAGGTTTGGTAAATATGTCAGCTAGTTGCACTTCTGTCTTGCAATGCTTTATCTCCAGCTTTCCTTTGTTGACTTGATCCCTCAGAAAATGATACTTCCTTCCTATGTGCTTACTTCGACTATGACACACTGGGTGATTCGTCAGGTTAATAGCTGACTTGTTGTCGACAAACAACTTCATCTTCTTAGGTTCCATTATCCTGACTTCAAGTAACATTTCGATCCATGCTGCTTGGCATGTAGCATATGATGCAGCTACATATTCTGCTTCGCATGATGACAAAGCCATAATGCTTTGCTTCTTTGAACTCCTGGAGATTGGAGCACCTTCGATCTTCGATCATGAAAATGTAGTCTGCAGTACTTTTCTTTTCGTCTTGATCTCGACTGAAATCTGAGTCAGTGTGTCCATGAACTTCGACATCTGTGCTGTTCTTCGACTTCTTTGGTAACAACACACCATGATCAATTGTTCCCTTTATGTATCTTAACACCCTCGTTACTGCGATGAGATGACACTCTTGTGGTTACTCCATAAATCTATTCAACAATCCTACACTTTGGCAAATATCTGGTCTAGTATTGCAAAGATATCTCAAGGATCCAATGATTTGTTTGTAAATGGTCAAACTTACAAACTCATCATCCGTTTCCTTTTTCAACTTTGCTCCAGTTTCTAACGGAGTGACAACTTCATTACAATTGCTCATTTTAAACCTCTTCAAAATATCTTGAGCATACTTCGTTTGATGCAAGAATACTCCTTCTTCAGTGTCTTTGAATTCCATCCCTAGGAAATATGAGAGATTCCCTAAGTTGGACATTTCGAATTCCGGCATTAATTTCGACTTTACTTTATTATCTCAGCTTCGTCTGCATATGTAATGAGTAAGTCATCAACATAGAGGCATAAAATGATTCGACTGACACTGTTGATATCATTTACGTACACTCCATGTTCAGATACACACTTTGTGAAACCTGCTTCGATCAGGAAGCTATCTATTCTCTTATTCCAAGCTCTAAGGGCTTGTATCAAACCATAGAGAGCCTTCCTTAATCTTAATACCTGCCCTTTGACGTCGAATCCTGGTGGTTGAGTAACATAGACTTCTTCTTCCAATGGACCATTCAAAAATGCTGACTTTACATCCAACTGATGCATCTTCCATCCTCTATATGCTGTCGTCGAAACAACAATTCTGATTGTTTCTGACCTTGAAACAGGCGCATATACTTCGTCGAAGTCGATACCAGGTTTTTGTAGAAAATCTCTCGCCACCAATCTTGCTTTATACTTCACAAGCTCACCATTTGGCCTTCGTTTCACCTTGTAAATCCACTTTACATCGATTGGTTTCTTATTTGTTCTCTCGACAAGCTCCCAGGTCTTGTTCTTCTTATTGAATTAGGAGAGACTAAGAGACATTTAAGTTAAACTGTGTGTCATGAAAGCACTACGTAGGCTTTATTATATATAGAGAGATTACAACTAATTACACTATATAATCGATGTGGGACTATTCTACATACAAATATTCTTAACATTATATATTTACAAATATCAACACTTCTCAATAGCTCTGAGCTCTTCTTTCATGGCTTCACACCAATTCGAATTGCTCATGGCTTTATCCAAATCAATTAGTTCTGCTTCAGCCATCATCATGGCTTCTTCGATTAAGTCACCATCTGCATCAACTGCTTGATCTGGAAACCTTTCATATCCAGTTAGCCTTGTCGACCCTGTTAGCGACCTTCTTTAATTCTGCACAGGTGGTTCTTCATTTTGACTGGTTAAAGCATCATCCTGTTCATTTCGACTGGTTGAAGCTTCGTTTTGTTCATCTTCTTCGAACACAGTTGTGACTGTATATGATTCTTGTCGAACTGAACTTCGACTCCAGTCCCACCCTTTGCTTTCGTTTACAAGAACATCTCGAGTGATCACTAGTTTATCTTCGTTTGGTGAATACAATTTGTATGCACCAGTCGAATGATAACCTATGAGCACCATGCCTTCACTTCGATCATCCAACTTCTTTCTCAATTGTTCAGGTACATGCCTGAAGCACATTGATCCAAAAACTCTACGATGACTCACATTTGGCTTCGACCCTATCCAAGCCTCATGAGGTGTCTTTTCGACCATCTTTTTCGCTGGGCATCTATTTAAAATATATACTGCTGTCGAAGCTGCTTTAGCTTTCAACATACTTCTCGTCATGATCAGTATACTTTTGTTCTTTCTCTCAGCTATGTCATTATGCTGAGGCGTATAAGGTGAATAACCTCATGATCTATATCTTCCTCATTACAAAATCTAACAAATTCAACAGACGTATATTCACCACCACCATCAGTTCTTAACTTCTTCAATTTGCAGCCACTTTGTTTCTCCGCATGCAATTTGAACTTCTTGAACTGTGTGAATACCTCACTCTTTCTTTCAATAAGGTAAATCCACATATGTCTGGTGAATTCATCAATGAAAGTAAGGAAATACCTGTTACCTCCATTTGACTTTATTACTTCAAAAGGTCCACACCCATCATAATGAACCAGCTCCAGTTTTTGCTTTGATTTCACGAGCAAGTCGTGTTTAAATGCCTTCCTCGCCTACTTCGCTTTGCAGCATTCCTCACACACCCGCTTTGGTTCCTTCACATAAGGTAGCCCCAACACCATCCTTTTCTGATTGGACATGCATAAACTTTTGAAGTTTAGATGTCCATACCCATGGTGCCATAGTCAGTTCTCGTCTTCTTGTGTAGTTGAAGCAAGACATTTGTGATCTGGTGTGTTGAGTTCAACTTTGAACATTTTGTTCTCCGCCAATGGTGCTTTCATTATTAGCCTCCCATCAGCCCTATATACCTTCATCTGATTCTTCTCCAGCTTCATATTGAAGCCTTTTGCAAGTAATTGACCTACACTTATCAATTTATTTGTCATAGAAGGTACATACAACACTTCAGTGATAGTAGCTTTTCGATCATCCTTCCTGAAAATCGAAATATCTCCTTTACCACCTGATTTGATGTGTCTGTCATCTGCAAACTTTATCACCTTTTCGACTAACTCATCTAACTTGGTAAATCAGTTTTAATTGCCAGTCATTTGGTTGCTGCATCCTGAATCCAGATACCACGTGTTGTTTTTCGAAGTGTTCAACTGAGTGTTCACCATCAACAACACATCATCAGAATCACTATCTCCAGCTCGTGCATATTGAGCTTCATCACTGTCTTTCGCCCTCACAACTTTCTTTTTTCGACAGTCTCTAGCATAGTGACCAAAACCTTGACAATTGTAACACTGCACCTCTTTCGTGTCAACTTTCTTCCCAGAATACTTGTTGTCCACACCTTTCTTGATTGAATTAGTATTCTTGCTTGACTTTTCATCACTAGCAAGATTCTTTCGCTACTTCGACTTCTCTTTTCCAGCTTTCTTGCTGAAACTTGATTGCAATGCCTGTTCAACCACCTTCTCTCTTTCTGAGTTTCTCTACTTCAACCTCATCTCATGAGCCTCTAGTGAAGCTTGAAGTTCTTCTAACTTCATCTCTGATAGAGCCTTGGCCTCTTAAATTGTCACAACAATGTAGTCAAAATCTGCAGTAAAAGATCTCAACACCTTTTCTATCTTCTGCACCTTTTTCGTGTCAACTTTCTTCCCAGAATACTTGTTGCCCACATCTTTCTTAATGGAATCAGTATTCTTGCTTGACTTCTCATCACTAGCAAGATTCTTTCGCTGCTTCGACTTCTCTTTTCCAGCTTTCTTGCTGAATCTTGATTGCAATGCCTGTTCTGCCACCTTCTCTCTTTGAGTTTCTTTGCTTCAACCTCATCTCATGAGCCTCTAGTGAAGCTTGAAGTTCTCCTAACTTCATCTCAGATAGAGTCTTAATTTCGACTAACTACATAGCTGTTGTATTCGACTCTGTCGAATACAGCTTACAACCCATTTAACTAGCTATTCGACATACACCATCATATACATTTCGACAGAACAAGAATTACACTTCTAATATTTAGAAGGGGAGTTAGCCTGGGCAAGAAAACAAACGACTGAGCTTTCTCAGCTATCAAAAGTATGGCTCTCTCGTTCTTTAAATACAAAATTTGGACATACTTTTATTATATTATATGCCATTTATTCTTATCTTTTCCTTTCCTACTATTGTTTTTTTGAAGCTTTATGCATCTTGTTTTATCAGCATTGTTTCCCAGTGTTGTCAAATATCGATATCGGGAAATATCGGATCACCAAAAAATTGATATGAGAAATATTGGATCACGGCCAAATATCGGAAACCACAAAGCGGTTAAAACAGAAATAAAAACTCTAAGTTTAAAACTTAAATTGAGAGAAAATCTGGAAGAAAATTTGCAAACGCAGCCACTTGTAGAATTTTCATGTAATGGTTGACAGAATTTCCATCCAATGTCAGTTCTTAAGGAAAGATTTGATGTTTCTCCGCCACTTTCCATACTATTAACAAATATACCAAAAAGGAGAAACAAATAGAAACTCATAACTCAACAAATGAAAACACAAAACTTAGTATAATGGAAAGGAACAAATGAAAGAAACCAAAAATCTAGAGAACAAAAGATAAAAAAAAAATCACCTAAAAAAAGAATTACCTGAAAAGAATTCTGGTGAAGTGTAAAAGCTTTGAAGAAATGAAGAAGAGCAGCCGAAGAATTGAAGGAAGAGTAGTCGAAGAACGAATTAACAGGACGAATGAGCAGGTAGGTATATATAATACTAGGAACCGACTCGGTATGAAAGAAGAGGAAGAATGAACAGGTATATATAATACTAAGCACCGACTCATTAGCTGACATTTTCCTTTTTCAATGTTTCCACTTCTTTAGATTCTACTTTTCCACTTCTTCACCTTACCTTCTTTAATGTTTTTAAAAATGATTTATTATAAAAAATAATAATAAAAATATGGCTTCCGATATTCCATTCATAACCGGTATACCGGTATGCCGGAAAATCGCCGATATCACAAGCATCGCGAAATTGAAATGCTATTCCGGTTTTGTATTGGATAGCCAAAATTCCGATACGCAATACCGGTATATCGGCGGTATACCGGATATTTAACAACACTAGTTCCCCCAAAATATTGCTCGAGTATTTTGATCCAGTTCTTTTTCTTAACTCAAGGAGAAAAAATTTCACTCGTTTCCATTTATTTATTCAGCTTCATGTAGATTAAATGGTTATTTATTCCTATTACCAGGATGCAGATCAGAGAGCAGATGTATCAAAAGCTGAAAAAGAAGAAATTTTGGTCAAGCTTTCCCTATATGAGGAGGCACAGACTGAATTGAAAAGTAGAGTAAGAATGCTTGAGGATGACAATTCCAGATTGAGGCGGGCTGTTGAGCAGAGTATGACACGGTTAAATAGAATGTCTGTGGATTCAGATTATCTTGTTGACAGGTTAATCAGCCTGTGCTCTTAGTATGTTTTTCTTGCAAAATCTGCTTGACCATGTGATTTCATTCTGATAAGCTTATGAATTCCTAAAAGGGCAACTATTGTTATTCCTTTTTTCTTCAATTTTAAAAGGATGATAATTGCAATCCTTTATATATGAATTTGAGCTGAATTTAGACTTGTGATAATTTCTGTCATTTTGTTGCTACCGTATAAATTGTATTGGTTACAGTATCAGTAAACTGTTGTCCTAATAGAAATCGTATTGGTTGCAGGCGCATTGTAATTAAATTACTTGTAACTTATTTCCGGAGAAATCATAGCAGAGAGGTATAGAAATCTTTTATTTTTTATTTGCTTTAGTTAGATTTTGCAGGACTGGAATGGAAGCCCCATATTCTTCACTATGCATGAAATTGTCATGATTTTTATGTTTGCCTGTGGTTGGTTGTACAAAGGCTGGACGGGTGGTTACGATGTGAGAGAGAGCGAGAGAGCAAATTCATGCGCCCAATTTTAATATATCTAATTTCTTATTTAATTATTGTTATTTTTAACCAAGTAAATCTGTATATAGTTATTACATCAATGGGGAGGTCTGCGACTTAATCTGATAAGACGCATAACAGGCTTTGAAAAATTGATGATTAGACACATTAAATGCGATTTCGGTTAATATTTACTAACAGATTAATGGGAATGATTACAAAACTATATCCTTTATTTGCAATTGTTTCTTCTTGCAACTTGCTATGCTTGCTTTCCTTGTATTATTGATGTTGATTGTATTCTTTTATCTTGTTTGTGTGAAGCCTTGGTTTTTCAGTCCTCTAAATGTTTATGATGTTGGGGACAGGTTTTAGATCTTATGGTTCGCATGCTAGGATTCTCTGACGAGGATAAGCAAAGGATAAGTGTTGCTCAACAAGGTGCAAGCAAAGGTGTTGTTCAAGGAGTTCTTCGGCTACCTGGCCGCCTGGTTGGAGGCATCTTGGGTGGAAGCTCGACTGAAGTAGTAGCAACTGCAGGATCTGATCACCAGGTAATTCTTCCATCTGATTTTTCTCTGTTGGTAGTCGTGTGTTCTTTATAAAATCAAACAAATGGCTATTTTCCTCGTTTTGAAAGTTGTGTTGATTTTAATAGTTTCAATGGACAATGTAGTGCCTTGCCATGAAACATCCATCTTCCACTTTTATGACAAGAGAATTCTATACAAGTTCTTCCTAGACTTCATCAATCAAAGTATTATTGTTTTTGTGTGAAAAATACTGCACTCAATTCTTGAACTTTGATATAAAATTTTCTTATTTAATTAAGAGCATTTTCATTTGCAGTCCTTTGCAGATATGTGGGTTGATTTTCTTCTCAAGGAAACCGAAGAAAGAGAGAAGAGAGAAACATCTGGAAATACAGGTACAACCACTGAAAATTCACATGATAAAAGTTCAAACACTATTTCGGCTATTCCCCCTCGTCCGAATCCGAGGTTTGCATCTGTTCCCCCACTTTCCAATCCGAGGTTTGCATCTGCTTTTCCAATAATTTCAACTAATCAAAACATCAGTCTTCTCCCTCCTAACTATTTTCAGCGTCCTGAAAATTTTGGTTCCGAGTTCTCAACAGTTCCCCTTACACCATCTATTGCCAAAAGTACTGGTTCAAACCAGCTTCCAATACTGAATATAGACACTGAATCCTGCACATAATCTAAGGTATATATGTTGTTTTTTGTTGTTGTTAAAATTATAGGCATATGATGTTGTTCGAGTATCTCTTTATCATTCATGATGAGGGTTCTTTTGTTAAAATTTGCTCCATTGCTTTCGTTATCTCGTCATTCTCGTGTGCAAGTTTTGTAAAAGAACTATCCTGTTGTAGATTGTAGATGTTCTAATAATATCATTTTATCTCTTCAATTTATGTTATACTTAAACCAGTTTACGGATATAATAGATTCTCCACTTCGGAATGCATATTTATTTTGACAAAATCTTTCATGTGCATATACAACATTAGTCTAACCTTATGGTACTGAATTGAGCAAATGTATTGTTATCATAATATTCGTCCAATTTAGTATATCAATTGGATGTGGATAGAAAAGATCCTAGAAAGTTGTGGGTCGAGGTGGTTATTATAGACCAAAGAAAAAGAGAGTGGAATGATTCGGTTGGTTCACTCATCGAGTTGGCTTACTTTTTGGTGAGTTAGAGAAAATGTACAACATAGTTTGTGCATTGCACGAGTTTATTTTTCTTATAGGATGAGTAAGTTTCATCATATCTCATTTTTCTCAATATTGAAATTTATTAATTATTCAATAGTAAAAAGGATTAAATGTATAATGTATATTTAGTCCCCTAGTTTGAACATTTTAAACAATTGATCTCTCTATTATAAAATCAGCGAATTTGATTCCTTAATTTTAATGATCTTTGGATTTTAGTGGTCCCTTTCCTTTTTACATACGTGACATTGATAATTGAGATAAAAAATATTTAGAGATGTGTCATTGATGACTAGGATAATTTATTAGTAATATTTTTTATAGAATAAATTAATAGTAAATTATTTTAGTTAATACTTTTAGAAATTAATTAAACTAAATTTTTTTAAAGACTTTATGAAATTAAGCCCATTTAAATTAAGTACCACCAGCCCACATCCAATTGACAACAAATCTTGTACATACTTGTAAATATCTAAAATATTGTCTAAAATTTCAATGTGACTTCTAAACTTTATGTTATTCTTCTTCCACCACACACGATCATATTCCACCACACACTACTTTACTATTCTTCTTCAATCATTCTTCTTGGTTTTATAAACACTACCTCACCATTCTTCTTCAATCAGACAACATCATCTTCATTAACAACATCATCTTCATCAACAACATGGTTCTTGATGCAATGGAAGTGGAAAGCATGGTTATAATTTTTCTTTGGGTTAAATATTTTCTACCTTCTGTAATAGTAGCGAGATTTGATTTACCCTCTTTTAATTTTTTTTTTCCTTTTCGCCCTTCAACAAACATAGATTCCATAATCAAAAATCTTTTAGTCCAAGATTTCATTTGAAATGTGGTCGGGATCTGTTTGCTGGCTATGTCATATTCTTTGAAATTCTTATGAAAAAATCTCAAAAAATTACATCTTCAAAGATTCGAATCCAAGAACCCTCCATCATTCATCAAACATCCAACCACTACACCATCAACTTTGTTGTTGTAAATAATTACTTAAATTAAAATAAATAACTTTAATAAATTTCTTCAAAACATCACTGCAGTCTCTCAACTATCACTTTAAAACAATGATTCTATGGAATTTCTGAATTGTTCATTAATCATCTCAATATGATTAATTATTTGTTATATATTTGATTTGAACTGATGAATTTTGCGTATCTAAAATATACTAACCTCAGAATGTTGTCAGCATCATGATCTCCTAAAAATATGATGGCGGCCCAAAACTTCAGGTATCTCCAATGCTGAAATGCTTTCACAGCCAAAGATCTCCTTAAGCTTTGCATCACACATTATTGCCAAAGGATTCACAGGATCCTACAAGTATATTTAAGGGACATGTTATGTTCCAACAAAAGTTTAACATACATAGTTGTTATGCATATGAGTAAAAACTTTTTTCTTTTCAAATTACTTGAGTGAAAATCAAATGTGTGCTCGTGTTGATGATAAACTACTATAATTATGTTTTCCTTCAAGTGTTCATTGTCATAGAAGCTTAAACACCAATTAGTTTGTGTTCACATAAAAATGCAGGAACTTACTTATGTGCCTAATACTAGAACACTATAAATAAACTAGACTAACAAAGACTTCATAATTCAAGATTTGATCCTAGATTTAACTCTGCAATGGAAAACAAAAAATAGTTGCAATAAAAGGTAGGGGTATAACAAAATACAAGACATAAATGACATGCAAAAAAAAATATGGATAAAAATTTATGTACTTAAATTAAAAGACCTAGATGTTAAAGTAAAGTATATCTGAAAGAAAAAAACATGCACTTGCTAGCAAAACAATCAAGTTAACAATGATTATCTTATCATGAACTGTGATACTCAAAATTAATGCAGCAATGCCATTGCAGGTGAACTTAGTATAAATCTAAACTCTATTGTTTACCTTTAGATGATTGATTTTTATGTACTCTCAGATACATTTCAGAACCTCTGACTGTAACATCTTCTTTTCAGTAACGCCAAAAAAGTTAACAAGTGAGTCAGATATAATTACCGAAGGAGCAGGTTCAACACTTCTTGTTCCCAGCTCCACTTCTACCTTCTGTTTCTTCGGGGCAGGTTTTTCTGAAAGTTACAAAGCACGAAGAAATCAAGCAATGCATTAAACCACTATAGTGGAGCAGCCCATTGGTTTTCACTTAGAGGTTAAAAATTGTGGTTATCGTTGGATAATTAAGGAGGATCTGAAACAATTAATCCCACAAACGATGTACAGTGGAAGTGGAAATTCATCTGTTCAAATCAAATATTTAACAAATGATTAGTCATATTGAGATGATTAATGGACAATCCAGAAATTTCATAGAATCTTTGGTTTAAAGTGATGGTTGGTTTTGAAGAAGATTATTAAAGGTATTTATTTTAATTTTTGAGATAATTATTTGCAACAACAAAGTTGATGATGCAGTGGTTGAATGTTTGATTAATGAGGGTATTCCTGAGTTCGAATCTTTGGAGGGAATCTTGGGCTATGAGGTTTTTAGTTATGGAATCTATGTATGTTCAGGGACAAAATTATTTTTTTTAAAAGGGATAAATCAAATTTCGCTACTATTATAAGAAATAGAAGACATTTAACCATTTCTTTTTTTCATTTCATCATAACATCACCACGTACGAACAAAAAGCCTTTTTTCTTATCATCCTGAGATTTGATGTATATGTAAGTACTCCTTGTGTTTATTGCTCCATGTTTAAAAAAATTGAAATACACTCGAACAGAAGCAATTTGTTTTACAAGTTCAAAGCATTTATTTTAAAATCTCGTACATATTGCAATACTTTTTAATATTTCATTTTTTAAGAAGTGGTTGTAAAGATGCAACCAATAGTTGTTATTTACAAGCTTTTTCACATGTTAAATGTAATTCGTAAATGAATTTAGATAGCTATGGCTATAGAGGTGTATCAGTTAAAAAATTATATATATGTTGATACTTAATGGTATTTAATATTAATGTAGTTTTCACCTTGAAGAGATTTCTCAAAGTCTTCCAATTGACGAATGAAACCACGATTAGGAGCTGTTTTTGGTCTTTTGTTCTTAACATGTTGCGGAGCTTCAGATAATTTCATTCCACGAGATTTCATCAGATATGCCACAATGATAGTCACACTGGAAGGTAGAAATAATTTAGAACCAATATGAACAATACACATATCAAGATTCTTTCTTTTAAGTTCCAATATGAACATTAAGAAAGGAAAATGCAACATGAACTTCATGCAAAATTTAAGTCACGAGCTTGAAGTAAACAAGGACATGATCGTTGAAGTATTGTTTTAAGTTGGTATCCTCTTTGTTAGAAGTGTCAAGTCTTCCAAGAATCTCAACCCATGCTAAACTGTTAAAGATTGAAGCGTAGACTTAAAAGAAAACGTGATGCATTTTTAGTGAGGAGACAAAGAGAGAATAATAAAGGAAATAATGATTTATATTATTCAATTGTACAAAATAATGATATACACTATGACTATTTATATACAATCCCAATTGGATTTGGGCTAACACAACTTGGATTATATTAAATATTAAATCTAATCAAATCAAATCTAATTTAATATTTCAACACACTCCCATAATCTAAGTTGTCGAACATCTTCAAAAATAGTCAATTTGAACTATTCCTAATTTCTTTCTCAAATTCAGGAATTTGTCGATCTTCAATCTTTTGGGTGAAAATGTCGGTCAACTGTGCTTCACTTGAGTAATGCTTAACTTCAAGTTCACCTTGATTTACTTTTTCCCTCAAGAAGTGAAACTTTGCTTCAATATGTATACTTCTTCCATGCAGAACTGGATTCTTCGCTAGATTTATGGCTGACTTGTTGTCGATTTGTAATACTAGAGGTTTCTTTACTTCGACAGTCATTTCTTCAAGTACAGTTCTGATCCAAATTGCTTGACATGCAACATATGATCCTGCTATATATTCAGCTTCACACGATGACAATGCCACCACAGGTTGCTTCTTCGAACACCATGAGATTGGGGCACCAAATACTTGAAAGAAATATTCAGTTGTGCTTCTTCGATCTTCCTTATCTCCACACCAATCAGCATTTGAAAAACAATTAATTATTGCTTCTTTGCCTTCAGAATCTCGTCGAAATAGTATTCCACAATTTATTGAACCCTTCAAATATCTCAGGATTCTTCTTGCAGCCTTTATATGTGACACTCTTGGTTCACCCATATATTTGCTTACTAATCCGACTGCGAAAGCTATATCAGGTCGACTGTTGCACACATACCTCAGAGATCCCACAATTTGCTTGAACAAAATTGCATCAAATTTATCTTCCTCTCTATTCTTCTCCAACTTCACATTTGGTTCGACAGATGAGGATGCAGGATTCGAATAATCCATTCTGAATCTCTTGAGTATCTCTTTGACATACTTTGTTTGATGTAGCACCATATCTTACTTCTACATTGAAATTCCATGCCTAGAAAATAAGACAATTTTCCTAGATCCTACATTTCAAATTCCTTCGTCATCAGCTCTTTGAACTTCGACAAGTTCTCTAAATTATTTCCAGTTACTAACAAGTCATCAACATACAAGCAGATGATTGTTATATCTTGTGCTACAACCTGAACATAGACACCATACTCTGATTTGCATTTGACAAATCCTAATTCGACTAAGTATGAGTCGACCTTCTTGTTCCATGCCCTAGGTGCTTGCTTGAGGCCATAAAGCGCTTTGTTCAATCTATATACTTTACTCGTTTCCTTCTGAATCACAAACCTAGGAGGTTGTGTGACATAAACTTCTTCGTCTAAAGGACTATTCAGAAATGCTGATTTCACATCTAGATGGAATGTTGACCAGCCTTGGTTGCATGCCAATGCTACCACTAGTCGAACAATCTCTAATCTTGCTACTGGAGTAAATACTTCAGAATAGTCGAGTCCTGCTCTTTGAAGAAAACCTCGAGCTACTAATCTTACTTTATGTCTTGCTATTGACCCATCTGCATTGTGTTTCAACTTGAACACCCACTTTACTTTGATAGTTTTTGTATGTGCTAGAAATTCGACTAACTCTCATGTGTTGTTTCTTTCGATTGCATGTAACTCTTCAACCATAGCTAACTTCCACTTGTTAATCTTCAAAGCTTCGCTATAGTTGATTGGTTCAGCACTTGCAAGTAAAGCAAAATGAACTAATTCTCCATCTGGTGTGATTTCATCATCACCCACCACTACATAATCATGAAGTCTTGTTGGGAGAACTCTATTTCTTTGAGGTCTTTGGCTTGTTTCAGCCACAACCTCTTCGACTTCGACTGTATCGGGAGTGTCAGCAACTACTTTTTCTTCGACTTCGATTGGATTCTCAACAATTCCTTCGACCTCTACTTCGTTAGTTTCTTCGTTGAAATCAAAGTTCATTAATGGCTTGTTAATTGAATTGCTAGAATTCCAATCCCAGGTAGAATTTTCATTAATCACAATATCTCGACTCAACACAATCTTCTCATTAACTGGATTGAATAGTCTGTATGCACCAGTTTTATGATATCCTACCAGAATCATAGGTTCACTCTTGTCATCAAGCTTCCTTCTCCTTGCATTAGGAACATGCTTGTAACACATAGAGCCAAATACCTTCAAGTGACTTACTGATCGTCATTTGCCACTCCACACTTCTTCAGGAACCTTTTTCTTCAATATCTTAGTAGGACACCTATTCAAAATATAAACTGCAGTCGAAACAGCTTCTCCCATTAAAGATTTTGGCAAATTCTTTTGCTTCAGCATGCATCTCGCCATATCTAATATGGTTCTATTTCTTCTTTTAGCAATTCCATTATGTTGATGTGTGTAAGGAGCAGTTACCTCATGATCAACATTATGTTCTACACAGAAATCTTCAAACATCTTGAATGTGTATTCGTCACCTCCATCTGTTCGCAGAACTTTGATCTTCTTCTCACTCTGGTTTTCAACAAGTATCTTGAATCTCTTAAAGATTTCGAATACTTCACCCTTTCGTTTGATCACATAGATCCACAGTTTTCGACTAAACTCATCGACAGATGAAACAAAATATCTCTTTCCGCCAATTGTATGTTCTTCGAATGGACTACATACATCTGAATGTGCCACTTCGAGAATGCAGGATGATCTCATTGACATAGTCGAAACGAAAGAATTTCTGGATTGCTTTCCCACTAAACAACCTTCACAAAGTTTTCCAGGCATCTCAAGGCTTGGAATACCAGTAACCATATATTGAGTAATCAGTTGATTAAATGGTCGAAAATTCAAATGTCCAAACCTCAAGTGCCACAACCAACTATCCTTGTGGTCGACAACAGTTTTCAAACATTGAACTTCTGTCGAACGGATCATAGTTTTAAATGTTATATTCTTTGACAATGGAGATTTTAAGACCAAATTGTTCTTTGTGTCGAACATTTCAAAACTCCGTCTTTCATGACAACTGAGAAACATTTTTCGACTAATTGTCCAACACTTAGCAAGTTACATTTCATTCAAGGTACATAGAGCACATCTTTGATCATAGCTTTCCCTCCATTACTCATTTGAAATACTATGTTGCCAACACGTTCTGCTTGCAACAAACTATTATCAGCAAGTTTTACCTTGCTCTTCTTCGACTCGTCAAAATCTGCCAACCACTCCTTTCGACAAGTCATGTGGTTTGAGCAGCCTGAGTCGAGAAACCAGATATTGAATTCAACATGGTTATCTGCAACTACAACCATGACCATTATACCACCTTCATAATCATCTAAATCTTGACGTGCAAGGTTCGCTCCTTCGTCCTTTCCTTTCGATCCATTGTCTTTTCTGTACCAACAATTCTTGGCCAAGTGTCCCCACTTTTCACAGTTATAACACTGCATACCTTTCTTATATTCTTTGTCCTTTCGATAGTTTCCTCCTCCCCTTTTCGAGGATTTATAAGATCTATCTTCGACCTTATTCTTATGGGGATTCGACCAAGACTTCTTGCCACGAGTCTTGTCGAACTTGCCTTTGAATTTGTTGGAACCACCATCTTTTTTCCATGGTTGAGCTTGCAGTGCCTGTATCGAGTCCTGAACTTCTTTCCTTTCGATAATCCTCATCTCATGTGCCTCCAACGAGCTAACCAAATCTTCCACTTTAGTGGTTTCAAGATTGTTAGATTCTTGAATAGCTACGATAACGTGATCAAAGTGAGAGGTCAATATTCTCATTACCTTCTCAACTATCATCTTATCAGTAATGGTTTCACCATAACCCTTCATGAGATGGACGCGTTTCTGAACCTTCAACACACATTCTGCAACTTTTTCATCTTCTCCCATCGACAACAACTCATATTGTCGATGCAAGGTTTGTAATTTGACAGCCTTGGCTTTCTCACCTCCTTCGAAATACTTTACCAGAATATCCCATGCCTCCTTCGCCGTTTCAGCACGAGAGATTCTGTCGAAGTTAGCAGCACCGACAACCGTTTGAATGCAATAAGCAGCCTTACAATCTTTCTTCTTGACTTTGTTGTGGGTTTTTTTCTGTTCGTCGGTTGCATTTGCAGCCAACGCAAGAACGCCGTCGGTAACCACTTCTAGGGTTTCATGGAAGCCAAACAAGGATTGCATCTGTTTTTTCCATCGAATCTAATTTTTACCGTCAAGCATTGGAAGAGAATTCAGAATGCCCTTATCACTAGCCATCTTCACAGCGGTTGATTTACTTGCCCTAGAAAAACGATCTCTGACGTGAAATTCTTGAAAACTTGATCAAGAACAATAACCGGAAGCTCTTGATACCAATTTGTTAGTGCGTGAGGCACTTTTAGTGAGGAGAGAAAGAGAGAATAATAAAAAAAATAAGAATTTGTATTATTCAATTGTACAAAATAATGATACACACTATGACTATTTATATACAACCTCAATTGGGCTTAGACTAACACAACTTAGATTATATTAAATATTAAATATAATCAAATCAAATCAAATCAAATTTAATATTTCAATAAAATAAACCATTCTCTAACACACTAAGGTTGTCAAAATCTCGATCTTTGCTTTCATTGGTTAGTTGTTGATAGTGTTCCTCATGTTATATGCATAGTATTCCAATGTATTCTTGGCCTCAACCTTCTTCTTATGCTCTTCATTAGAGACATTCAATATACCATTGGCAAAATCTCAAATAACATAAAGTT